AACCATACCAAATGTCTCACTGCTACCTTGTAAACCATCCCTTTCACCCTCACTCTGTGCATGTTTCCACCTGTCTCCGTCTCATTCATACACACGTATTCTATCTTTCTTCTACTGTATATCATACCTCTTCTGTCAGAGCATACCTCCACCTCTCCAGACAATCTTCCACCTGTTCCCTGCCCTCACTACATATCACATGTATCGTCTGCATACATCATAGTCCTGCTTGACCTCGTCTGTCAGCCTGTTCATCACCAATTCAAACAAGAATGGGCTCAGAGCCAATTATTGATGTAATCTTACCTCGAATCCTATCACACAGTTTACCACTGTCTCACTATCTTCACACATGTCCTGCACCCCCCTCACATGCTTCTCTGCCACTCCTGACTCCTTCGCACAATACCGCAGGGTTTATGCTATGCTAAGCTAATCAGGAGCTTCCTAAAGCAAATATCTAGTTTGGACACAGGAGAGGTGTTCATTGTATTGGCTAACATTTGGCAATGACGTTAAGAAATCATCTCTGCGTTACTGGTGAGCCTTTAATTTAGAAATGTGGCTTAACTTGTCAGACTTAAAGTTCAACACCCTGGAATAAATTAATCACCAAAGTACACTTTTTTGGATGTTGCCCAAGAGAGTGTATTCTGTATCTTCTCTGTGAGAGATGCTACAAGTTACCTTAAAAAAAGGACACCCTGTTCTCAGAAAACATCAACATTTTTGAATACCTAAGGAGGAGGGATGTGATCTTATATTTGTTCGTGTGCCAAGTGGTCATTTACCATTTATTGTTCCCAGTAGCGTTTGCTCAATCTGATGTTTGCACTTGTGTTCCTAATGGTAATGTTATGACAGTAAAGTGTTGATAAGGACCCAATAACTCTGTAACTTGTATATCCTGCTAGACAGCAGGAAGGCTGCACTTTGTTATGATAGCATGTAGTTTGGACTTGTTTACCCATCTCATCGACGCCTGGCTGACTCATTGGACCTGGTTTTATTACTGTACGCATACGTGCTTTACATAATCGGGTGTTCTTTTCTCTCCTCAGCAAAGGGAACAAAGATCAACATTTCACTTGTGCCCTGTCGAAACACAAGCGCAAGTGGTTGGCTGTTACAGAGAGGTTCACGTGGTGGGTGTACGCCCTGCTGTCTCGCACGTGTTACACTTACATCTTTACTGTTTAACACCTGTGTGTCGTCTGTATGACTAATCCTCGTTTTTTTCTACACAGGTAAAACCCAGCCTGTTTCTGTCATCATTAGTCACGGGGCTGCTTGTCTGTCACAAAGGGCTTGGAGAACAACAAGAAGAGGGATATATTATTGTGCAGTGTCCACACTATAGAACCTTCAGCTCTCTATCAGTCTTTATTCATTCATTCAAACCAATATTTTTTATTAAATTTTTTCTTTTTTAATTTTTTTTTGTTGCTTTGTTTTTTCTTTTTTCCAAACCCTTATTTGAATTTTTGTTTTTTTTTGTGGGGTGTCAAAAAAAAACCTTGACATTACCAGAAATACTGGTTTGGCGATATCTTGGAACTATAACAGCCTTAAGTGCTTTACTGCTTCTTCTGTTCTGATAAGAGGCTCTTTCCATTTCAGGGACGTTTACCAAGCAGTTGGACTGCCCTTCGAAACTCACAGCTGGATTAAAGGAAAGAAAGGCAAAAGGTCTTAGTTAATAAATGACTGAGGTTTATGAGTAGCCAGCATTTTAATGATAAGCAACATAAGAGTGACTATTTTAACCAGACCCCCAGTTTAAGAACCACGTGGAATTTGATACTTTTGTAAGTTTTTCAAAGTCTTCAGAGGGCGGGGTCTTGCCTTGACATGACAGCCGAGCCAGAACGTTACAGTGTTCAGGCTGCACTGTGCTCGAAGAGGATATCTCCCATTGCAAACAAAAGTGAAGAGGCCAATCAAATTGCTGTTCCTGCCTGAGAACATTATCTCAGTGCCAGACAGTGTGCTGTTTGGACACAGTGCACTGGGGGTTGGTGCTGGGATTTGGGAACGTACAAAAGGTCTCTTGAATCATCACATTGCAGCAGCCACAGACAGAGATACTCCACTGTTCCCCTCTGAGTGAGATTGTGAAAGATATGATCACTTCCACAGCTGCTTGTCACCTTTGGAGGGGTTCCGTTGTTTGAGCTGCAGCTGATTTCCTCTCTGTCTCTTTTGGCTTTCGAGCACTTGACACCCAAATGGGAGTTGATAAACACATGCAGTTTCTACGCAGCTCTGGGAAATAACCCTGTGAAAGAGGAACTATCCCCTTTTGCTGCGCTCTCATTAGAAAAGATCGCCAAAGCACTACATGAAACACAAGAACACCACGTTTTTGTGGTGAAAGAATATGTAAAATAATACAGCCAGATGGCCTTCTGAATGCCACATTGCCGTGAACACTGGGAACTTTCTAGTGTGGGCTTTTGTGCACAATGCTGAAAGTGTGCATTCATTCTCACAGGAGAGCATCAGCTGCTGCAGGAAAGCAGGTCTAATCCTGTACTGGTGGAGTGCAACTTTACTCCTTTTCTTAAAAGAAAAAGAAGTTTTGTGTCCTTTGTCTGTTGCTCTTAAAGCATGCCACGTAATATCCGACACATATTCTGGTACATTCAAAATCTGAGCTAAACAGATCCTTGAAACTTTTTTGATGAAACACTGGAGTTCATGTGGGTCCACAGGAGGTTAACAGGGACATTCAAGTGTGTCCTTGTGCTTATAATCAATAGCATTAGCTGGTTTGTTTTCTGCCAGGACTTTGTAGCTAGTGACATGATAGTTTCCAGCATGCCTGGATTTGATAACTGTTTATGGATTTATTTCCAGGTGTCTGGAAAAATGATCAGATTGATCCAGCTGTAAAGCTAACACCATTAAAATGTCCAACACTGACAAAAACTTTGTATCTTGACTCCCTTTTTTTCCACCATAATGGTGTCACTTGTCTCTTACTGGAGAATAAACCAAAGAAGACAGTGCCTGTGGGAGCTGGCTGGATTACAGTTGGCAGAGACTGAGAGTTGCTCAGAGAAAGGTTTTGAGGTAAATTGCTAGTTTGCTGAGAGAAACCACCATCTTCCAAAAAAAACAACAAAACAACAACAACAACAACAAAAAACACAAGCTGTTCATTAAAAAAAATACTGAACTATAAAATAGATTATAATCATAAAGCCTGTCAACTGCTGAAAGTCATTTTTGAGTCAACAAGTTAAGTCTGATGAAACTTTTGTTATCAAACCTGCAAGACTGAGAGGAGAATAGCACAGACGTTATCAGCAGGGTCTAGCAGGATTTAAACAACTTACTGCTAGTGTTGTTGTGCCACTCTTCTGTCTTTGAATGAAAGTTTAAAAAGCAGTTTTGAAAACAACTTATTTTCTCTGTCTAACATCAGCTGGTTAAACCAGTACTTTCTTCGCTGAACTCTCTGCCGATGCCCTGTGCTGCTGGCCAGAGGCCCACTAGAGATAGTCATAAGAAGGGGAGTAAATAATATTAAAAACTCTTGCTGAATCTTGTTGCTTCGATTTGAGACTTTGTTCACATGACTTTTGCACTTTTAGCTGATTGTTTTCGTTTTTGAGTTCAGATAATGTGTAACGGAGGAAATCGGTGCAATCACATTTTCAAATAGTCACCTCATCAGTTTCCTTCATGACAAAAATTGCACATTCAGAGCATAAAGGGGAAATTGCTCAAATGCTGTATTTCAACAGTTAGTTCTCATCAAATAAAGCTGCTTGTATTTGTGCCTTTGCAGAAAATCAGTTAAAAATGAATTAGCTAATAAGTAGGTCTTTTCCGTCTTACATCACTGAGAGGGAAGTATATTGGGGGTTTGGACTCTGGGTGCTCAACAACTAATTTCAAGTCCAGTTTGGAGAAGGGGAAATGTTAAAAAAAACAAACAAACAATAAATTAAATTTTAAACATTTACTTGCAAACCAACAGTATTCAGTAGATCTTTGACAAATATTGCAACAAGTGTCAGTCCTTCTGCATACAGGATGACTGACCCTGATGTACTGCAAATCAAATCAATCTGTACAGCAGTGTCCCCAAAAATATACACAATATCCCAAAACAAGTGCCATGGATAGATTTTATTTGTGAATAAACTTCACAGAGAACCCAGGCAACAGGAAAAAAGACCTTTAATAATAGCTTATCTCAGGAAGTCCAGGCAGGTAGGTTGTTCCAGCAGCTGGAATTCTTCTTCTTCTTTACACTCAGGGTTTCTGGGTGTCATCTTCTGTGAATATAAGGTCTCTGTGAGCAGGGGAACTTTTTTAATGGGGGGGTACAGGAGGGAACTAAAAACAAGATAGGGTACTCAGTGTTCCAAAAACACTCATGTGCAGCCCTGTGTCCTATTACAGATTTATTACACAGAAAATGATGACATGCAAGAGTTTAAAACAGTCATTTTATGTTTTGTATAATTGTTTTTCAAAGTGTAAAAAGGGATTTATAGCTTAACCTTTAAACTATAGTAGATCATAAGCAGAAAGTAGAACAACAACACCTTAAATAAAGTGAAAGTTGCAAACCTGTACTTGTATGCTCTCTTCCAATGGTGCTGTGCACTGTAACGCTACTCCAGACCAGTGGTGTTGGTGGCGCTGTGGACACGCCCACGTCTGTGGGCCGCATACCACATGTTGGACGTATTCCTCTTATAGCTGTATATTCAGGCTATATTTGCTGCAGAATGCCTCTCGGATCTAAAGACACCTCCTTACCGATATCATCGGTGGACAAAACTCCAAAGCGCCTGGAAGCTTTTGTGCGCCACTCCGCACGATTCTGTTGTATGTTTTAAGATCTGTTAACTTTGCAGCCTGCGAGATATACATCATGTGAAATGCATGGAGGCAACCTGTGGTGAAACTTTCAAGTTTGGTGCATTTGGGGACAGACAGCGCCCAATGAATGAGCGGCTACTCTGACGATGCTGCCCGATCGTCGCCGGTCGACACGCCCCCAGCATGGATACACCGAGCAGGAACAGGCGCTCGGGAGACACGCACTATGCTGGAGACTGTTTGAAGCCGCGATGGGAGTTAACGCATCCAAGTTTCTAGACTTCTTGTTCTTACCAGCGTCGTTGCGCTAAACAAAGACTTTGGGTTTCTGTTGTTTTCTCGCTCGCTCGCTCTCTCTAAAGGGAGGTTGTCTGCATTTCTGTCCTAGGCGTTTCTTGCACAGGATGTTGATGATATTGGAAAGCCGGGTAAGATCATAAAGTCAGTTCTCTCTGATGAGAACGACCTCCTCCTCTCCACCACCACCACCACCACCACTACACAAAGGGAACCACGGAACAAGTACTTTTTCTTCCCCTCTCACGGGATCATTTTTATTTGATTTTTGTGAATGTCATTAAGAAGCAGAGGGGGCTCTTTCAAAGACAAAATGGATCACTTTGCAGCAGAGTGCCTTGTTTCAATGTCCAGTCGTGCAATTGTTCATGCTCCTAAAGGGAATAGGGAGATTAAACCAGAAATCCCATCCTCCTCCAAGAACGGGGAGGAAATTAAGGAGCCTTTGGTGAAGGATAACTCCTCTCTTTTTGTGGTGGCGCGGATTCTGGCGGATTTTAACCAGCAGACTCCCAACAGTGTTGCCGAGCAGGCAAAAATAAAAGATGAGAGCATGCCGAACCTTAGAGATGATGGAAAATCTGCCACACCTTCCACCATCTCCGATCCTTCGCTCAAACAAAGAGGCAAAAAACCGCGGGGACGAACTGAGCAAGAGCCGCCTCAGAAAAAGCACAAATGCCACTATTCAGGTTGTGAAAAAGTTTATGGCAAATCATCTCACCTCAAAGCCCACCTAAGGACACACACAGGTCAGTTTCATTGGGTGCATTGGATGTTTGTTGCTGTGAACGTGGGTTTCCCTTATGTATCTGAGAACGGATGGGATGATTTAAAACACTGAGATACCAAAAGTGTGGATTCTCGTACATTCATAGCGCTATGTGTACAGAGGAGGTGATTGCTGTGTTTCGAGTCAGTGACTCATAAATATTCACCCACGGATCCACCCTGAATGGATACTATGAGCATATCACTTTAGCAGTGGCCTCTATAGTTTCATAATGCAGTTGTGCGAACTTTATGAAATGTCCTTTTAATTTCGGTTGCGGGGGTTAGAAAACAGTGCCACTCCCACTCATGTCTCAGAGCTTTGTGACGGCTTTCCTTTAACCCCCCCACCTTACTCACGCATACGCGCGTGCGCGGGAGCACACACATACTCACAAACAAACCCCACCGCATGGAACACTGTGTTCAAACTGCAGCGCAAATGCAGAACAAAATTACACAGATCAGATTTCGGGCGTTCTTCTGTTCGCTTTAATTAAAATAAACTTTGGGTTGTACCACGGCAACACGAGAGTCGAAACCCTACAAAATACAGCCTAATGTCCCCATTAGAGAATAAGCCAAGTGTGCAATAAATAAATGTGGGCATGCTGAAAGTTTGCAGTCCAGCAAGTGCGCCGTCACACCGCTGTTGTCTCAGCGGTGTGACGGCGCACTTGCAAACCCTTGCAAATGCGCTCCGGATCGGCAGTTTGCTACCTGTGACCTTCCCAAAGGATACCTCCACATCTGCGCTTTGCATTCCGCAGAATATTCTACTGAGATAGTGAAGGATGTAGATCGACTCAAATTGGGGGGTTGATAAGAGCTGTGCAGTAGCCTGTCTGCCCAAAGCCCTTTGTTGTGATGTGCCACACCCCCGCTAGACAGACTGCCAGCTGATCTGGCCAGCAACAGACTCAGCTAGTTGAGCCTCGACTGAGGAGCCTTTGCTTTTCCCCTCCTGCTCTGTATACTGCAGTTCATCATCTTCTACACACATATCGAGCTGACGGACCAGAAACAAAACAAAACCTTTATCACAGGAATAGATTACCCCCCCATCACTAGATTTACAGGGTGTGGGAAGAACTGTCCATCTAAAAATCAGGCTAAAATTAGGCACAGGTTGTGAAGAGTTATACAATCATTTGCTGTTGTCATGTTGCAATCAAGTTTTCTAAAATTGTTATTGAAAGTAATAGTTTTTATTTATCAGCTGCAGGTGGTGGCAACTGTCTAGTAGCAGTATGCAATCAGTGTTTGTCAACGGAAGTTAAGAGAGTGAAACACAGATTTGGTGCATGCATATGCATAAAAAAGGGCTCTAGCTTTTTCTTCAGTTGCATCCTAAAGGACATGAAAGGTCTCTGTACTGATGCAGTTCTATTGCTGTCACTCAGCCCTGTCCTTGTCCTTTTGCCTATTAGCCATTTCCTTTCTTCTGGGATTCACTCCTCTATGGCTTTGTGATTGGTTTGCAGTCTATAATTTCTTATAATTGGGCTGGTTTCTGCTTATTTTACCGGATAGTTAGAGAGCGTGAGTCATCTCAGTTAAGCTGCCTTTTTTTCTCAGCCAAACTTCCAGCAGGACTCTCAAAGAGCCAGCCTTCAGCATTCAGCGGTGCTTCTCCTGAGCCCAAACCATGTGAGCTTAGTGCAGTTTCATTGCTCCGTATTAACCCTGCCCTTGTCTCTGTGCCTATTAAGCATTTCCTTTTTTCGCCTGCCTTTCTGTTTGGATACAATTCGGCGTCTGGCTTCACGATTGGTTTATGTCCCATAAATTGTGAAAATAATGACTGTTTCTGCCTGTCTGATTGGATAGGCCCAGAATGTGGGTCATTTGAGTTCAGCCGGGATGCCTCAGCCAATCTTGCAGTGCTTTCATAGAGCCAAAATCTGGCAGCGTGCTTTCCTTCAGCCCCTACTAGCAGAGTCAAGAGAGAATGGATCCCAGCCCAGTCAGTTCCTGCCAAACACCACTATCTAATTGAGGAGGAAAACACTGTAATAGACACCAAACAAAGAACCGGGGACAAGACGTCCTTACTTGACTCCTGTAATGCCCAAAGCCTCATCATCCCAGCTTTTGCATATCTTATGAGTCTTATTCGTTAGCATCTTAAGAGAAGATGAAACCTGTAGGTTGTTTTTGTAAAGCAGTGTCTTCAGCACAATTCCATAAATAGGTCAAAACAAATCTTCCCCTTGAGTCACCATCATTTTTTATCACATATTTACATGTTTTATGTGTTATTTTATGAATGTCATTTACATGTGCTTACTTATATAGTTTATAGTAAATTTAATTAGAGTTTAGTGTACTGTAAATGGAATGTGTTTTTGTGTCTTAAACAAGCTACATTAGCTATGGAGCTTGTTTTTCCTCCAACCTGTAAGTTTTTAGGACTCTTTAGACCAGCCTTTTGCGGCCACTCCAGTTACACTCATAAACAGTATACTGAGCATCCCTGAAATAACTGTGATTGGTTTCATTAATGAAAACTGTCCACAACAAGGCCCGTGTCACTCAGTGTGATGTTTGGGCTTTCATTTACTGTCTTTGTGTAATTGTTTGTCAGTAGATTATGTGGTTACTGCTAGCAGTAGAAAAATTTACCACTCAGGGAGAGCAAAGATGTTCTTGATCCCCTCAACGGAGATTATGAAGGGTTCATTGTAGGTTTCTTTTGAGACTCACTGTCTAATGCAGCAGACATCGAGGTACACACTGAATTTAAATTGCTCATTATGCTGCATTGAGTTGTATGGTGAGGAATGCGCAGCAGTTTAAGGGTCAAAGGTGACCAGACAGCTTTTTGTCTGATCTCCTGGTGCAGGAGGTGGGCCTTTTCTGTGAAACATGCATTAGCCCTGCAATATGGAAAATGAAGTCATGTAACACCCATGTACATATAAACTATTTACGGTGTAACATTTGAATTCATTCAAATTATTTCTTGCGTTCCTTTTCCTCTTATTTTCATGTTCTTTCTGGCTTTTTAGCACCTTTTTCACCTCTTTTTTAAGAGTGATGCTCCATTTTCTAAATAGTGTGTCTAATAGTGTGTCTTGCTTCCATAGAGAGTACATGATGTTCTTTCTGAAGCCTCATTACTCTGTTGTGGTCATCTCACCCAGACTACCATCAAAGGAGAGATGGGCCTTGACTATTCTTCGGCAATAACAGCTCAGACTTTCTCTGTCCTCCACAGCTGGGTCGTACAAAAGGCCATCTTGTCAGTGTAGAAGACCTATTCAGAATCTACTGGAATCACAGGGAGGAACAGCGTCAATATTCCTCAAAGACAAAGAGTCTAATGCCATATTTTACACTTGGATTAATGTTTTGTCTGAACCTCTTTTGTGTTCTGCTGGAGTATCTCTAATACTGCCAGATAGCTGCAAAGCGTGCCCTAAAAATTAGTGGGAGCACCTGGTAGACCCAGTTATTCATGCATGCTGTCTATTTCCAGTCAAATAACTGTGGTTAATTACGCTTTTTAAATGTAAAATTATCCCAAGTTCCGCATGGAAAAAGCAACAGGACTCTCTGATTATATATACAACTTCACTGCCAGTGGTTTTATATTTGGCTGCACTTTTGCACAGAGTGCACAATGTTCCTGTGTGGCTGGTGGCATTGATGAGGTAGCAGGGTGGAGATGGGGTTTTCCTGCTCTTGCTTGGGCCTTAACCTTGGCACAGAAATCGGTAAAAGCTCTACTGGGGCAGGTCTGTCTGTCTACCTGCCACACGGCAGGATTTCCACCATTGCTCCCATTTGAGCTCTAATTCTGACATGTAATAAGAAGCTCGTGCTTCAGTCTTGAGACAAGTTTCCATTTGTCTCCATCCAAATGTTGTACGAGGGATGTGGTGTAACAAGCTACTTCAGGTTCAAATTGAAGCTATGGGATGGATTGCCTTGATGTTATGATTCCCTCATGGTAAAACCTAAAAAACCTGTGGCTTTTCCTGTTGTGTTAGCAGCAGGTTTAAATCTTGGTTTTTGAATTTACTGTCGCAACTTAACTGTTTGCTATTAGAATCGATTTAGGAGATTTGTACATGTTAGCTACTCTTTGTTTCAAGGGTCCTCTTTTCATTTAGCACCATAAACCTGTTGAAAGTATCGTTTCTCCAGCGTTTGGTCAGCTTTACTGCTTTATTTTTCATAGTAAGTAGCAAATGTTCAATGCCAATATTCGAAACCATGACAATATAGTACTGCTGTAATAGTGTACACCTTGTTCTCTAGTGATTAGCATGTTAGCAATGTCAATTTGACAGGAATTTACAGATGCAAACATTCAAGTGTTTGTTTTTTCTGTCGTACGAGTTCAGAATGGCATCTCTCCTGCACAACATGTTGTTGCCTTATAAAGGTCACATGTAGGATGGTATGTATCGAGTAGAACTAAGGAATCCTTTCTACTAGGGTGTAAATAAAACCAAAGTGGAGCCACCATTTTCTCTGTTATTCTGCTGGTGCAGTGTTTCTGCTCCATGGAAGACATTTCCAAGGCATGCGCTGGTGCACGTGCTGTCCATATGCTATCCTGTATATGCACATGTAAAGCTGATAGTAGGATACTTCCTTGGTGTTGACATATAAACCTGATTTCACTGTGATTAAGCACCCAGGCATGCATAGAGGACAATCATAATACTGAAAGGTCGCTGTCAGGCAGTACCCTGAGCTGTGCTGCTTTCAGTGGCCCACAGGGCTTGTGTATTCTTTAGTTAGCTCTGGAGTAGCTCTATAAAAGCTGCTCTGTCTGTTTCCCCCAGCAGCCCCTCCCGCCCTTTTCCAGCCTGAAAAGCAAAATAGGTGCTGAAGCCTGCTGTGTTGCGAGGCCGAGCCCGGCCACGTTTTGTGGTGTGGTGTTGATTACCAGCGGCAGGAAGAGAGGGATACAGACCTGTGGAACACTGTGCATTCTTCATTTTTTTCCCACCTCCACCGCATCTCG